GTTTTTGAACTGCAACTCCCAGAAACCCCAGCCAGCACAGTTGGTGGTGAAGGCTTCTGGGAGTTGCAGTCCAAAACTCCTGAGTAACCCAAGGTTAAGAACCAGTGCCCTGGACTGCAACAAACCTATCCATTCTAAAGGAAATCAACCCTGAATGCTCACTGGAAGGACAGATCCTGCAGCTGAGGCTCTAATACTTTGGCCATCTCATGAGAAGAGAAGACTCCTGGAAAAGACCCTGATGTTAAGAAAGTGTGAAGGCAAGAGGAGAAGGGGACAACAGAGGATGAGATAGTTGGACAGTGTCATTGAAGCTATCAACATGAATTTGCCCCAACTCCGGCAATGGAAGATAGGAGGGCTTGGCGTGCTCTGTTCCATGGGGGTCACAAACAGTCGGACACAACTAAACAACTAAACAACAACAACATGATTCTGGTGAAATTCAATATACGACACAACTGAACAACTAAACAACAACATGACTTGGTGAAATTGAATATAATAAATTCAGATTATTCTAAAGCTTGTTGGAAATGTGATGAAGAAATTGGCACATATTATATGTGGTGGCAGTGTAAATAGATTCAGAAATTTTGGAAACTGATTTTTAAGGAAATATGTGGTATATTTTGTTGTCAATTTTGTTAAGACAGAACTTGATTAGTGTTTGAAGGAATTGATTTCTAATTTTATGACAAGTGCTAAAAATATTAATAGCTAGATTTTGGAAAAACAAAAATATTAAATTAGAAGATTGGTATAATGAAGTATGGGACATTTCATTAAATGATAAAATAACCACTGAACATAAGATGAAAAGAGGGGAAATAAGCTCAAATATTTTTTACGCTATGTGGGGTAGATTTGCTCAGATTTTTTTTAGTGAAAGGAAAGGAGAAAGCTTCTAAACAACAATAAATACAATTTTGGAAAGGAAGTTCGTATTAAAAGTATTGTTCTAAGGGGCCCTGTGGATATGGGATACATGGTAGTTTAGATTGTATAGAAAGTATTTTGCACTTTTGTATTTGTTTTTTGTTCTGAAAAAAAATAATAGGACTAACAATCAAAATTGACAGTTGCACTTTTGTATTTGTTTTTTGTTCTGAGAAAAAGTTAAAAAAAATAGGACTAGCAGTCAAAATTGACACAAATGCAGAAGGAACCTAGAGAGAAAAGTTGTTATGATTTATTTTTTCAAAGCAGGATAAAGATGAAGCTAGCGGAATACTTAAAGGAAGAGAGTTATACATACAAGGGGCCATGAATGCTTGCTGGCATGAAGTAACATGGGAGTGAAAGTTTAGTAAGAAGACATGTTTTGAGGAATGTAAGAACTGAAGAATTAGAAAGAAAATAAGCTAGATGTATAAGAAGGATCAAGACAGTGAAGAAAATAAAAGGTTAGATGTTTAAAATGGAACAGTTGAGATAATTAGAACAGAGAAATATATTGATTTATGACATGTTTAAAGTGCAAAGAAAAACTAACCCCTCTGGAATCAGTTATTTCCTCTCCCCCTGCTCTTAGTTTGATTACTCTCTGGGTTTTTGACAATATCCTCTTCCTATGGGAAATCTTGCATATCCACAGCCTTATCAGGTGGATTTTTTGTTTTTCTCTAATGTTTGAGGGACTTCCTGCAAATATGCAGGACTTGCATTTTGTCTGTGAGTGACCCTGTTTCACTGTTCTGCTGGTCAATATTTCACCAATAGGTTAGTTGCTGGAGAAAATTAAATGTTGGAGCTCAAAGAAAAGAAGTAAAACATTACAGTAATGAACACAGGGTGCAGTAATGGCTTGCTATAATTAGTAGATAAATTTGTTTCCTCTTTATCAGTCCCACATCCCTCTATGCATTGATGATTCTAAGAAGACAAGTGTGTAGTCTAATTGAAAAAAATGTAATAAAAATAAATGTTTACAGAGATATAATATAAATTCTATCTTCATAGTGATATAATGATATTTAGAAAGAGTAGAAAACATATTTATCCAAAAATGTGAAAGGTCTCTATGAGACCTTAACTAACAAAGAGGTAACTTTTCATTCATTCAGTATATCAGACAAAAGAGAGATCAAAATAAAAACAGGACAAAAAAGAAATGTGAGTTTTTGTGGAACAAGTCATGCATTATTGAGACTGTACAGTTATATTTTTGCATAACCTTATGACCAAGTGGGGATACAGATCATAGGCAAAGTAACAATGGTTTGTTAGTAGTAGAATAGAGCTATCATGCTTTTCATTCATTCAGTATATCAGACAAAAGAGAGATCAAAATAAAAACAGGACAAAAAAGAAATGTGAGTTTTTGTGGAACAAGTCATGCATTATTGAGACTGTACAGTTATATTTTTGCATAACCTTATGACCAAGTGGGGATACAGATCATAGGCAAAGTAACAATGGTTTGTTAGTAGTAGAATAGAGCTATCATGTGTGAATAATTTCAGTCATCAGCTTACAAGATAGAACTTTTCATTCATTCAGTATATCAGACAAGAGAGAGAGAGAGATCAAAATAAAAACAGGACAAAAAAGAAATGTGAGTTTTTGTGGATCAAGTCTACTTCCATTGAGACTGTACAGTTATATTTTTGCATAACCTTATGACCAAGTGGGGATACAGATCATAGGCAAAGTAACAATGGTTTGTTAGTAGTAGAATAGAGCTATCATGTGTGAATAATTTCAGTCATCAGCTTACAAGATAGCAATAGTGTGTGAAAGTGTTTTTGATCCACAAAAGGCACATTCAGATATAGCGTTAGTCTTTAAGGAGGCACAATGGTTCTGTCTCGTTTTTGTTTTTGTTACGTTATTGAGACTGTACAGTTATATTTTGCATAACCTTATGACCAAGTGGGGATACAGATCATAGGCAAAGTAACAATGGTTTGTTAGTACTGTAATAGAATAGAGCTATCATGCTGTGAATAATTTCAGTCATCAGCTTACAAGATAGCAATAGTGTGTGAAAGTGTTTTTGATCCACAAAAGGCACATTCAGATATAGCGTTAGTCTTTAAGGAGGCACAATGGTTCTGTCTCGTTTTTGTTTTTGTTTTTGTTACACATGCACAGAGTAACTGCTACTTTTTAATTCAGTCTATCTAGAATAGGTCCCAGTAGATCTCTAAAAAATCTGATCATTTGTCTTTGTTTCTCTGCCTCCACATCTATGAACCCCAGATAACATTAAGATAATTTAATGATTCCCAAAACTGCTACTAGCTTAGAATGAAACAGATGCAAACCTATCTCTATGAGTGTATCTATAAATGTTCTTACCATGGTCCTGTACCTGAGTTGGATACAATATTGCACTTTTGTTTCTGTGAGCTTTTTCAGAACAGCAGCTGAATGTTTAAGAGTGTTTCTGTCACTGAATTTTGGTGTTTAGAAGTATGGGAGTGGTGTGGCAAAGTAAGTTAGGAGAACTGACTCCTTTCATCTGCTGAAGTTACTTATCCCTGACTAAAATGGGTAGAATTTGAGTGCAAATTTATTTGACGATTTTGTACTTACAAATGGGTTCAAGGTTCAGAATGCAATCCAAATACAGTGGTGCCTCGCTTAGCGAGCGCTCCGTTTAGCGACGAAATCGTGTTGTGATGAACTTTTTGCGATCGGTTTACGATGTTCCCTAAGGGGTATTTTCGTTTTACGATGACCGATCATCACAAAGTGACCATTTTCGCATAGCTGATCAGCGGTTTCAAAATGGCCGCCGAGAAAAAAAACATGGCCGCCCGCTGTTTTCTGGGACTGATTCCTCGCTTAACAGGCAGCGAAACTGGCCGTGCTATGGAGGATCTTTGCTGAACGGTGAGTTTGAAGCCCCTAGGAACGCATTAATCGTGTTTTGATGCGTTTCTATGGGCTTTTTTATTTCGCATTGCGATGTTTTCGTTCAACAGCGATGCAAGGCACCACTGTAATCAAGTGTGAAGCTGAGTGAAAATGGAGATGCAGTGTATTATCTTGAGGGTGGGCTGAAGATAGAACTGATAATTTTATCTTATCTGAGTGCACTCCTGTCACTTCAGTGCCCTGTACTTGAAGATGGAAGATTTAGTGAGGAAGTGTATGCTTATTGCATGTGGAGGAGGAGTGCAATAGGTAGTATAAAACTGTAGTAAAGATGTACACATATGGTACTATGCAGAGTGCTTGCTGAGGTGAACTGCTGAAATAATAACACTGTGTGGTCAGCACCTTCTTATTGAGTCTTCTTAATGTTCTGGCCCCATAATTCACTGTGAGATTATTTTTTTCTTAACATCATTACCTTTTGGGGCCCTGACACATCTGTATTCCCATGACTCGAAAACTCCTTTGTAAGTAATGGAAATACTTAAGATTTTAAATATTTAACTGTTCCCCCTTTTAGTTGCTCAGAGTTCCACAACTGAAGGAGGAGAAGAGGAGGAAAGCGAGCGGGACTCAGAGATCCCGGAACCCAGCAGAGAATTCCGGGGAACCATGGAAGCAGACCGTAAAATGGGAGATCGGATCTGTGCAAATGAAGCAGTTGCAGATAGCAGTGCCGCCAGCAATTCCTGCCCGAGCTGGCTGCGCAAGGTGAGAACTTCAGTTGTGCACAGTGTGAGAAGGTAAAAGAAAAATAATATGTCTCTAACAGCATGTTTTGCAGCGTTGGCTGAGAGGCTTCTGCCCAAACATTACTGTTCTCTACTGGTAGCACCAAAACAGACAGAAGAAATCTTCCTCCTTTTCTTAAAGGAACATTTAAAGTAATTTTCTTCAGCTAGCATCTTGTAGTTACTGGAAGTTGGAATTGCCATTGTTACATTAACTTTCCCTTGTGCGTTGAAGTTATTTCTCCCATAAATGGAAAGTTGTATTTTCAACTTCATATTCTCCACATTATATGTATGATAGGTATGCTTTACCTAACACATTTTCAGACCACAGTCCCATTTCTTTACAGCTAGATAGCAAATCAAGAGAATTTAATTGGATGCTCAATACTTCACATTTGAAAAATGAGTTTACCAAGCAAATACAGTAAAAGAAGACATGGACTTCTTCTTCAAACAGAACATGAGGCCAGAAGCATCAGTGACAATGGTTTGGGAGGCAAGTAAGGCATTTTTAGAGGAGCAGCCATAAGATTTGCATCAAAACAAAAAAGAGAAAGAAAGAAAAAATATAAGATTTTGGAAAATAGATTAGCATCAAATGAACTACAGCTGAAACAAAATCCATCAAATACAGAACTGAAAGAGAAGATAAAGTTAGTACAACATCAGATAACTATATATTGTTCACTGAGGAAACTGCAAAGAAGCTTAAATTTGCAGAGCAATTTTTAAAAAAAAACACAAATAAGCCAGGGAAATGGTTAGCATATAAATTAAGGAAAGAAAAGGAGAAAACAATAATACAAACACTGAAAGATGAATCAGGGACTGAGAAATTTAAACAAGAAGAACTAAAAAAGATTGTTGAGGACTTCTACCAAAATTTATACAGTGGTGCCTCGACTTACGACCATAATCTGTTTCAGAAGATGGATGTAACTTTAAATGGTCGTAAGTCGAAGCACCATTTCCCATTGAAATGCATTGGAACGCGATTAATCTGTTGCAGAAGAAGAACCCCTCCCCCCCAAAAATAAAAATAAAATACTGCAAGCCTCTTCACCTACCAATGGTTAGCACATTTGAATTCCCCGCCTGGAAGTCCCTGCAAGGGAAGCATGCAAAACCCATCGGAAATAGGGGGGGGAAAACCAAAAATAAAAATAAATAAAAATAAAATAAAAAGCAACTAACCCCCCCCAAGACCAATCAGAAATGGGGGGGGGACCAAAAAAACACACAACCCCTCAAGGCCCATTGGAAATGGGAAAAAACACTCCAAAAAGCAACAAAAACCCCAAGACCCATCGGAAATGGGGGAACCCCCCCCAAAAAAAACAACCCCCCAAAGACCCATCGGAAATGAGAAAAAACTCCAAAGAGCAACCAAACCCTGCAAGAACCATCAGAAATTGGGGGGGGGACCAAAAAACAAGACCCATCACAGCACAGAAACATAACCCCCCCAGCCCAAAACCAAGCTGCAAAAACACCCAAAACAGTTTTTAAAAAGCAGAAAACAGCACCTTACCTTACCAGCAGCCTCCTCCAATCACACACTCTCTAACTGCTGGGGCAAAAGAGCTACAAAGAAGCAGCCTCTTCCCCACCAACAGTTTGCAATTTGACTTCTCTGCCTTTTTCCCCTGCCTTTTTGTGTTCATAACTGGAAGTTCCAGCCACGAGTCAAAGCAAAATTTTGCAGCCAAAGCTGGTTGTACCTCAAAATGGTAATATATTGGGACATTCGTAAGTCGAGGCACCACTGTACAGTAAAAAGGAAGTAGACAAAGAATCTCAGAAATAATATGTACTGAAATACAATAAAATGAAACTGACTAAAGATCAAATGCAGTCTTTAAATGAGCCTTTAACATATGCAGAAATTATGGAAGCCCTCAAAAAGCAAAAAATGGGAAATCACCAGGCCCAGATGGTCTTCCAGCTGAATATTACAAAGAATTAGAAAATGTATTGCTTAAACCATATAAGAAACTCTTGGAATTTGTAGAAGAAAAGGGAGAATTGCCAC